ATATTCTCCCTTTCTGTTACTATCCCAAGTGCCTGTTAAAGCCTATTGTATTTTCTTGTTAATCTATACTCATTTCTCATTGGATAATTTCTTAATGATTCAAACAACTTACTATTTTCTTATTACTTGTGGTGTGGTGATACAAACTGTAAATTTGATTGCCTTTAGCCTTTTGTTGTGTTAGACAAGGTTATACAAAGCTATATATATTAGTTGCAGGCATCTTTGGTGGGTCATATGTTGATATTTTTCGGAATTTAGTAGCAAGAGAAATTGTTTTTTATTTTAACACACATTGCTTTATGTTATTCTTCTTATCGTGATTGAAATGACTTGTACGTTATTAATTTCCACATTTTCAGCCAAGCAAGATGTCAAATACTTCTCACACGAGTTCGAGCAATCGATATAGCCGATCCTCTGAGGTTAGGCTATGTGAATGTGGCGACGCAGCCGATGTGTTCACATCAATGAGCAGTGAGAATCCAGCTCGAAGGTTCTGCAAATGTCCTCGCCGAAAGGTTAAATTTTTATCAGACTTTGTTTTAAGATTATTTGAGTTTCAGATTAGAGTAGTTTTGTTTGTGGCGGTTCATTCACTTGTGTTGGTCCATTCACCTTTGTAGGCTGAAAAGGCTTGTAACCTATTTGTATGGATTGATCCCGAGTTGCCGCCGTTCCAAAAGGCTTGTTTTAACAAGCTTAAGGCTGAAAAGGATCGGTTGCAGGAGCAAATTTTGTGCAAAAATGTAATGGAAAAATTGCAATCAGAGCGGCTAGAATTCAAAGCTTCCGAGAAAAAAGCGTTGGAAAATGAGAATAAATTTTTGGTGAACTATTTGGAGATTGAAGAAAAAAAAAAATGTAGAACTGCAGATCAGCCTTGATGAAGCTGTCCGTACAGCTCGTAGTTTGGAGAAGAAGCTCAAATATATAAAATCTACATTTTTGTGCATTGTGTGCTTTCTTGCTACTCTTTTGTTTTTAAGTAAGGTTGGGTAGAATAGACTATGATGATGTTTTTAAACTTCCGTCCAGTTATTTTGTGTGTAATAACTAATATTTTGTAAACCTACCTAGTACTTTTTTGTCTGATGGATTACTATGTATTGAACGTAACTTTATTGTGTTACCATATTTTGAATTTAAAAAAATTTTGGTTAACATTACAGGTCACACTTGGCTGCAAGTCTGCAACTGACCATTGAGAGGTCATTAATTCATGTTCAAAAGTTTCGTATCTGACAGAACGTGCTATGACAACTCACGCCAGGTCTATAGCTAGGCGTAAGCTTTTTCTTTAAAGCCTAGTTGATTGGAGTAAAGGACTTCACGCCCATGTTTACTAGCATGCTTAACTCACTTTTTATGACCATTCAAATGTCATTACCTGGTCAAAATATTTAGAACCGAAGTGACATGATATGACCACTCACTGCACGTCTAAATTCTTGCTGACCATGATTTCTAGCTTTTGTCATGTGCAAAATTATTGATAACGAAGCATGATACATGCCTATTTAAACGACCAACTTCACAACAGTTATATCCACACTAGCAAAAGGAAATAAACCTCAAATATCAGTTGTACTAAAGTCCGATGGCTCCTGATTTTGGTGTAGTGCAGGCCGACTATCTGTACGACCTACATTGGACACCAAAGTTGGATGAGTTTCTAATCGAATATTTACTTGAAAATAAGCTGTGTGGTATATTTGTTCCTTATGCAGATAATAGTGAGTCCATACTTGGTGCTACGAACGCATTGAATGCATGGTTTTCCAAGAGTTTCACGATAGAGTACATCGGTACCCGCGTTGGAATGTATATCAAACGACATTATATCTTCACAGCGCTGAAAGACAAGGATGGTGTTCAATACGACGTCGAGCATAACAAGTACCATGCTTCGGACAAAACTTGGTATCAATTGTTTAATGTGAGTTTTCTTAAATGATTTACATTTCCTTTGTTACAGATAATAGTCGATAGATGTACAAACTAAAATATTTTTTTTTTACATAGTGGGATGATTTTTCCATCGCGTACATGACAGAAGGTGATCCACTACATAACAAAATTGTCGAGTTGTTTCACGTGGAGCCACCGTACATAAATCCATTCGAGTGGTGTTCTATTTCTGACAGCGACACCGGAGACAAAAGGCAGAAAAGTAAGAAAGGTGGCAAAGATGTTGAAGTTATAAATGTTGAGGACTACACTCCAAAGCGTGTGGCACCGAGTAGGTTAGTGCCCTACCCTGTTCGAACAGACATCCCCCGTAAGAAACAACCACCGCGTCCGGCCTTTTATATGGGTAGCAGTTCGAAGGCCCCTAAACCGAAGCAATCTATTCATAGTCAAACCGGGTCTAATGATGTCTTCGTGAACCAGCCCAGAAACGACAACTCCGCTCACGGTGCACATGAACCGGAAGAAAATTCTACATCCACTGCATGTTCTGTCACTCCTATG